CCCCCCCCCCCCCCCCCCCCCCATTTGCTCCCCCTGCTACATGCCACTACCTACCTGCACCCCTGACACCTGTCCCCGACATCTTCCCTCCCCCTGATTGTCTCTACCCCTCCTCCTCCACAACCACTAACCCACACTCCAGACCTGCTCCATGCTGAAGCATGGAGTATATTTGCTACTACCATGCTGGGTTGAGGTCCAAGCAGCAGTGGCAGCAGCTCTGGCGCAGGCTCTAGGACCTGGCTGGAGCTGCTGACAGTGCATCAGCTGTTACTGGGCTGGGGCAAACATGTGCACTGTGGCCCAGGCAGGGCCATACCAGAACTGGAGTGAGGGTGAACAGCAAGGGAGCTGAAGCAGTGAAGGGGTGGAGACCACAAGCAGAGGGGCAGGCAGCAATTATGGTTCCAACCCTGTCCTGGGGTTATGGTGAGAACAGCCACCTGCCCCCATATACCCAAATCCAAGCCAAGGGACTTTTCTCATGTTAAAAGACCTCTTCTTGGATTTGAGGAAATCAGCTATATAGAAATGCAACATCAATAAACTTGCAATACAATTTACAAGACTTGACATTTACAAAGCTACTTAAATGATCAACAGTACCGTTTAAACAAAATCTTACTCTGCATCACCATGCCGGGCTGCAATTATATGCCCTTTCTATATACTCCCATTTTAATGAGAAGAAAGCAGAGAAATTTCAGAGACATTTGAAGGAAAATACGCAATAAAAATAATACTCACCTTTTATTTACTGCCTCATCTGTAAATTCTGTGGGTATGAGAGAGAAATACTTCCCCATCTTCAGCCACATGTTAGATTTGGGGATCCATCCATTATGTGCATGAATAGTATGGATTTTCGCAAGTTGCCTGGCTATAAGTCTGTAAGATAAAGTTTAAATGTTTATTTTATCCCAGACATCTGGCTAGTTAAAGCAGGTTGCCAAAACACCCACTGGTATTTTTAGCATCAGGAGAACACAGTGAGGACATACACAGAACCTTGTCACAGGAAATCAAGGAGGAGTCACGGAAGATGAGAGGAGTGTCAAGTAAAAAAGTACTGAAGATCATGAAAGGTTTCAGTCAACTTTGTAGACCCAATCCTGGGAAGCTTTCATAGAGAAAGAAAAAAAATATATATATTCCCCTTAAAACTAAATAAAGTAAACCTTGGCCCCAGCTCAGCATTATTAAAATATATAAAACCTAGCTGCTATATAATGATTTCAAGATTTCTAAAGGTTTGCAAAGGCACTATTAAAAAAGAAAAAGCATAAGACAGCTGCCAAAAGCTCCATATGACAAGAATCCCTTAACTATGCACAGAATTGCACTTAACTAATGGTATGGTATTTAAGCACTTCTTAATTTGTAAGCCATCTGAAAATGATAAAATAATTGGTTTTATCCATTTATCCAAGTAACTGAATTTTTCATAGCCTATCAGTGATCATAAGAGACATATACCAGTATTACATAGATTTTGATTCAAATCTGTGACATTTAAAGATAAAAAAAGTAGAAATCAGCTTATTGGAGTTATTTTTCATTATATCTCAGTAGCTTTCAGAAAGCTTTCAGAAAGTTTTAACTATAAACTGGATCTTGAAACTGTTAGGAAAGCAGGCTTGGTGGTGGTTGTCATGGTGTGGAAGCCAGCAAAGAACCCATCATTTGAATTTACCCAACAATTTGGCTCTCCCTACAGTGAGCAGTTTTCAAACTTCTGGTTCTCTTGAGATTTAAACACGTTTCTCTAGATTCCTTTTCAATAACCTTCTACTGAAATTTTAAGATTTCAGAGGATGAAGCCTGAAAGACTTTTTAAAAATTTCCAAAATAAGAAGGTTTTCCCTCCAATATTTAATCCAGGGGAAGAAGGGAACAGACAGGGGTCTATGGCCAAGGTAAAAAAAAAAAGCTAGGCCAGTTTTTGTACTCCTAAGTGTGCCCTTACTGAGAATGCCAGAAGACAGCAGCCAAGTGCATGCAAGACATCTACTTCTTCCACAAACTACACAGAGGTGAGCTGTGGAGGCCATATGGAAGGAAATCACTAAGCTGCTACTGGTACAGGTAAGCAGGGCATTTGTATGTAGCTAAGAAGCTACATCCCTGTCCAACAGACATGTTTTCCCAAAAACATACTGCAATTCCCTGTGCAAAAGGGCAACATAGTTTCTTAGAATGCATCAGAGATTAAGTATTTTTTAAGAAGGTTTACCTGAAAATATCAGGATTGCAAACATGCTCTGGATCCAATGCTTCTCCCTGCATGAACTCGTAGCATAGACCATTATTGAAAGTGCAGTACAGCTGCGGTGCACAGCCATGGGCCTGCAACACTCGGAAACTCTTTACTTCTTCATCCCGGTCTACTAAGAGCTCGGTCTTGTTCCCATAGATTCTAACTAAGACCACATCATCCATCTCATCTCCCACATAGCAGCCAATAAGTTTATTGGTGATTCCATCTGTGAACAACTGCAATATAAAAATAATACATTAGCTATTCCACAATCCTACATCTGCTTGCTTGTACATGTGAAAAAATCCACTCATTTGTCTTAATTATAGGATCACCCTTTCAGTGGATTATTTTTTTGTTTGTGGAGGATTTTTAGCTAGTAGCCAAAATGTTTGCTAGTCTGTGCACTTTAATCTTTTAAATAAAAAAAAAAAAGAAGATAAATAACCAATACGGAGAACTAAGTGTTGTGGAAAATGCACATAATTAAACTACATTTCAAGGTATTTTCTAATAGATGAACAAGGGGGACAGTGAGAAAGAGACTGGAATTTAGAAACTCTGTACAAAAGCAGCAACACGGGACTTAATTCTCAAAAATGAGTTTTCAGAGAAGTTGTTTTTATTCTGTTCATCAGCATATATTCCAGCAAAACAGAACTTCAGCCATACTAGTAAATGTAAGTACAGTAGATATGAAAACTGTTATATAAAACTGGAAGGATAGCAAGGCATCATTTTCTAGGTTTGGTGTCCACTGCCTGAATGAGCGTTAAAAGGATCCATTTTGGACCTTGATCTTCCTTTCAAGGCCACCTGAGGGGTATTTTTTTCTGTTTTGTTTTGGTTTTCTTTTTAATTCAAAAAGAATCCAGTGAAGGTGATAAGCGTTCACATCATGTTAGAGCCCTGGTGATCTCTTTTGTCTAATACCTGAGGCTTTCCTGGGTTAAGTGCTACAACTCTGAAAGCTACAATTCAAACCTTCAATTAAAGGAATCACTACGCTTGTCTTCAGCCGCAGGTATTCTAGACTCGAGTCTAAAGAGAAGGACACAATGACCTCCCCAGAACGAAGAGTTTCAGGCAAGTCTCATTAGCCCTTTGTATTCTCTTTGAGAGCTATTTACAAGTGGCATTTCTGGCATGTGCCTCTCAAAGAGGCACAATAAACACCTTGTATGCCTGTCATTAGAAAGCATTACTGCCTTGCATGAAGAGCAGTTTTTTTTAAGACTGCAGACATGGCTTTCAGTCATAACTTTAGACCCAATCTTGGAAAGCTCTCAGAGAAAGAAAAAAAAATCTCCTTAAAAATAAATAAAATAACCTGACCCCACCCAGCATTATTTTATTTTATAAAATAATCTTTATAAAAATAATTTTTATATGCATACATACACACACACCCCTAGCCCTAATGAACAACTGCTACATAGTGATCTATTTAGATGGATCTACCCATAAAATGGGTAGACTGCACAATAAATATGTATGCCGAACACTATAAGTTCTGATTCTGGGTCTTGAAAGGAAATGAGTAACAGCTGGACTTCTGTGCCTTTCACTCACAGACATAAGAGGCAATGATATAGTCAAGGACCCAGAATAATCTGAATGTGAATAAGTGGGCTGTGTTCACACCAACGGTGGAGTATGCACAGACATTGGCCCCAAAGAACTCAAATGTCAAGTCTCTTAAAAGGGAATTCTATTCTTTGCTCAGCTTTATGTGGAGTCCTAGCTCTAGGACAGCTTCAAGATCATCGGTTCTGGGACTGTCACATCAACGCACCAAAAGCGTTGGATGAGCAAAGTGGAAGAAAGCCTGGCAGATTTCCCTCTGGAGGATGGCTGAATTTTAGTGAATTTCATTGAAACAGACATGATCACACAACCAGGCAGACTACCAAGGCTGGTTACATTAGCCATAATTTTTCAAAAAGTGCAAGTGTTTTGCTTTTCAACACACAAAGCATTTACATTCCCAAGCAACAGGCTTAGTTTCAGAAACAATTAACAGAAACAAAGAAGTGACTGAAAACATTGATATTCCCATAAATACTAAGTTTACTGCAACACCACCAAAACTTTCAGCATAAAGAAGGACAAGCAACTCAAAGCTATGGTTCCCACAGCAACCACCATTTGTATTAGTGTAGTATGTGTCTTGCTGCTTATGCGATTCTATTTACGGTCACAACATATCTTCTCTTCCCCCCTTAATCTTTAGTTAAGATTACTATAATAAACAGCCTTTACAAGCATTACATTTGGATTACTGGATGTAGTAGTCAGATAGTTTATTTTGGTGATTCAAAGGAAGACAAAAATGCCAAAAGATTACACACATTTGTGTGTCAGTGATTATAGGAACATACTAACTGCTCAGGTAAGGTGATTACAAACATTTCAGCCAAAAGTGGCCTGTGAAGCCATTTCACCTAGCCTGCAGGACTCCCCCACTTGTCCAGAAATTTGGCTGTGGGGGAGCAGTGGCCATAATACAACCACCGTCCCTCCTACCAAATTCCTAAACCCAAAGCCCCACACACCTGGTGGGAGCCAGGCCATGTCTACCCCCACTCCTGCCCCTGAAGGTCAGACTATGTCCCCTTCTCACCAAGGACCAGGCCATGCCCGCTTCTCCCCCTGCAGGCCAAGCCATTCTGCTTCCCCCATGGACCAGGTTGGGCCCAGGCCATGCCCCATTTTTTCCTGGGGGGCGGGGGGAACGGAGGGGGGAAATGAGAAGGGAGGAGGCCATGCTCCCTTTTCTCCCCTGTGGGGTTGGGTCAAGGCCTTTCCCCCTCTCCCCCCACCTCCATCAGGCCTGGTTCCCTGCCCCTCTGCACAGCAGGTAAAGTCTCCTTCCCCCCCCATGCAGGGTCAGGCTCAGGCCAGGCTGTCCCTCTCCATCTGGCAGGATACTGGATCAAAACCACCACTGAGCCCGTGGGTGAAAAAGGCTGAGCAACACTGCATTAAATGGTCATTTCCAAAATTTATATTTAGAGTTCTTAAAAAGGCAATGTTCAAATATGAACTGCTTCAAATACAAAGATTAAATTTTCTTTGATAACTGAACTGAAATCTGTTTGGGGAAAATGAGACTGACTTCTTTCTTTAAAAATTTCATAGAGGTAAAAGTGAAGGGGCCTTCCCTATCCGAGTCAAAACATGAACTATTCAGAGACAACCCAGTTTACACTCAATGTAAGTTCTTGGATCTCCAGTATCTCTTGGATGGATGTTCTTGCTCAAACATTATCCTCCCTTTTGTCTGCCCCCTTTTCTTTTTATCCTCTGGGGCTGCAGACCAGACAAAATGAAAAACAGGAGGGAGAATACCAGGAAAAGTTCGAAAGATTTACAGGAGCTCTGTGGCTGAGTATTCAGGTACTGTCATATAGATTTTTATGAAAGCTCTGTAGAGCAGGTAGCTTTTCTTAAGATATCCTTGTCCTGCAAGAAATGGTCCCACAATCAGAGGTCTGAGCATCATGTCTCTTATGAAGAAGCTGACTTGACCAAAATTATTAAAAAAAAAATTAATATGCTGATATTTCTTGTTAAAAACAAGGCCCATCTGTAAAATAAGACTGCTTAATAAAAAGCTCTAAAGTGTCAAAAATAATTTTAAGTCCCTTCAGTTTAAGAGCGTCTTTTATTTAAGCCTCTCTCTTTAAAGAGGAATCCTTCCCCAAGAACACAGTCTGATTTTAACTCCGATTGGTTATTTTTTCCACACCCAGTAGGAAGATATAAATCTCTTATAATGATGAAAACAGTCTCTGTTCATCATAGTTCAGATGCCCCATCAACTACCTGAGTAAACATCACTATGAACTGAAGGTGATAGCTACAAAACCTTGAGAGCACTTCCAGGAGAAGTGGGTTTAACTCTATTCAATTAAACAGTTAAAACTGTCAATGTCAAAGGAATAGTTTGAAGCAAGGCACTGGGATATCTTCTGGGCCAAACTGCCATTAATAAATCCATTACATTTTACCTGTTCTGGTTGAGACTGATGGGGCTTTGTGATGTACATCATTTATGGACAAAGTTTACTTCCATGTACCCAAACATTTCTTAAAGGAAAAATAAAAAAAAAGACACAAATATACCAAAGAAGATGTCTGTACTAATTTTAACCAAACAAATCTATTGCAGTTTTAACTCTGAAGTCAAATCCCTAGAGAACAGACAGTCAAACTGACCCAGCACTAGCCTCTATCTGAAAATACCACTTAAGACAACTTGCAGGCACAAAATTTAGGTCCCTGGGATTAAGAAATTTGTCTTGTTTAGTTTCATACTGGCTTACTTCTTCTTTCACAATAAATGGAAATATGAACGTTAACAGTTCTTAAGATAGCTACAATTATTATTTAACACTACCACTTGTTTTTCAAGTTCTTTCAGACTTTGTAAACAAGGTCATACAAGTTGAGGCATTCAAAACCGAACTAGAGGTTTCTTTTACAAAATCCCATGAAATGGGGTGGGAGAGGCAGTACTACATTCCCTACTTAGTGTTGAATGTTTCTAAACTAGTTCCAGTGATTAAAAGAACCTGTACTGGCAAGAACAGTGTATACCAGAGGTGCTCAATGTCTAGCACACAGGCCAAACGTGGCCCTCAGAAGCAGTGCTTCCGACAGGCCAAGACGTTTGGCAGTAGAGAGTGGTGGCCGTTAACACAGCCACCATTCCTCTGGCCAAATTCCCAAACACCAAGCCTCACACACCCAGCCAGAACCAGGCCATGCTCCCTTCCCCCCATGGGGATGGGTTGAGTCAGGCCACGCCCCCTTTTTCCTCCATGCAGGGCCAGGACACATCCACCCCTCCCCCTGCCAGTGGTGCCAGGCTGCCCCCTGCATATGGCAGCTTGTGCCAGCCCTGGATCAAAACTACCATCTGGCCTACAGTCAGACCAGCACTGTCACTTCAGCACACCAGGGAAAATGTTTGAGCAATGATATACACTAAAAACTAAGAACATGAAGCGTTTAAGCGTTCTTTGTTACAACTAACATTAACTTTAAACCGGAGGTGCTCAATTTCTGACCACAGGACAGATCCAACCTGCAAAGCCATGCCAGGCCACCCAGCCTACAGGGCTCCCCACAGGTCTGGAAATTTGGTGGCAGGGTAGTGGTGGCAATTATCAGAGTCACTGCTCCCCTGTCACCAATTTTCCAAGCTCTGTGCAGCAGGATTAGGTTCATGGACCAAACCGAGCCCACAGACC